GTAACACTTGAAACGCATATGCGTCTCGGCCCATGCAGAAACGCATGCCCATGCAGAAACGCATAGTACCCCGGGTTGCTTGAAATCGCCTCGGGGGCTGAATCGAGACTAGGGAAGTTGCAAATATGGCGGGGTTATCTGTTTGGGATTATGTGGTTTTCGGTGTGATGCTAATTTCTTCCAGTATTATTGGAATTTATTATGGCTGCAAAGCGAAGGGAAGATCGACCAAGGAATACCTGATTGCTGGTGGCTCAATGCACTGGTTCCCGATTTCTATGTCACTTCTTGCCTCGTTTTTCTCTGCAGTGGGTTTGATGGGGATCCCAGCCGAAGTTTACACATACGGAGTCAGTTTTATATTCCATGTGATTGGCTTTACAACAACTATGATACTAGCAGCTCATGTATATGCACCCATCTTCTACAAAAGCCGTATTACAAGTGCAAATGAGGTATTGCGGGGTAGGGGTATTGGGCGAAAAATTCTCATTAAGACCAGGCCCTACAGAGACACCCTGTGTTTTTCATAATTTTAGTGTTAATTCATTCTAACAATATACATTTTCAAAGACAAATGTAAAATTTGTGACGTTACATATGCAATGCATTTTCATCCATTTTAAGATTTAAGATCAGTTGGAAGAGTAGTAACCCCCCCCCCTAGTTGGGAAAACATCCATGAGCCCCTTGAGAGCAAATTTTTATTTTGCCACGTTTTTCATAATCAGGCATTGCTTACCCAAAATACCTTTGTTATCAGTGACATAACTAGCCCCGAAAAACTGGAGTGGACAAAATAAATTCTTGATCAGTTGTGTAAATTTGAATGCCAGTGTGTAAATTTTGTTCACAGAATATCAAGTGATGACTTTTTGAAGAAAATTGTTGGAAATTTACAGAATCTTTGCTGATACTCAAATCTTCTGTTTTCAGTATCTGGAGATGCGATTTTCATCTGGTGTGAGACTTCTTGGATGTATCCTGCTTATACTGCAATATGTAAGTGAGAAATTCTAAGGAAAGTAGTGTAGAGCAATTGATTCTATTGGTGTCTATTTTTGTCATATATAAAAGCAGACATTTTTTATTTAAAGAAACATTTTTTTTAATATCCTTCTTGTTTGCTTTTGAATTATTGATGGGAGAGGAGCTCAAAATTTCATCAATAAGATCTAGGCCTTAAAATGGTTCACAACACATTCTGACAGGTGTTGGTCTCACCCAAACCAGAAGATATTTTTTATGAAGCTATTTCTTCATTCTATTTTGCTAAATGTGTGTCCCAATCAAGCTTATTTTGTTTTTAAGGTGCTTTATTTATCTGTTGTGCTGTTTGCACCAAGTTTGGCACTTGAAGCTGGTATGTGACAGTTTTGGCCCATTGAGTCATTTTCTGTGGATATATCTGCACTGGTAGTGTTAGTGCAACCTAAGGGTTGAATCCAACAAAATCAATTCTTAAGCTTACAATTAGCTTAAAGAAAGAAACATAGGCGCATATTACAGATTGAGAGTATTCAAAGAGCGAAAGAGCAATATCACATGCCTGGTGACACCTCACACCCCAACGGGCCATGATACATGAACCATTTACCATTATAATTAACAACATAACCCAATCCAGTCATCACTCATCATCACATTTTCAAATTTAATTTCCACCTCGTCCGTGCTCCATACTCTGATGAAGGCCCAGTATGCCAGAGGCAAATAATTAGTATTCGTTTAATATTTTTATTTTGGAAAATTATCTCAAAACATTGGATTTTTTGTAATGTCGTTTTGCTTGTATCTGAATTACCTCAGTAGTTAACTTTATACTCATTGCAGATTCAGAGGATCCGTGTGGAACGGCCATCCTGAGATTCCTCACTCTCACACACTGAAAACTTTTATCCCTGAGCATGTGTAACCTAAATGTTCATGTTGGACTCCAGGAAGGAATATGGAATGGAACACAGCAGCTGTCAACAAGGTATTCAATAATCAGGTCTTACACAGGGACAGACCCACCACAGTTACTTACGAAATTTGGCTTCCCAATTCAAAGTAACAAAAAATTTTTACGTGAGACTCGTTGGAGCATAAAGCGTGAAAATGTGTTCCACTTCAAACGTGGATCGCATCAACAAGGTTATATTTTTTACAACACAACCAACCAAGGTTAATCGGGAAACAATCAACTTTGGATTCTGAATGCTGTTTAAATAAGGAGCTCAAATAA